TCCCTCTCAGTTTTCAAGTCCCGTTTAAAAACTCACTACTATTCGGTGGCTTTCAACACCAGATGATCTGTGTTTTGAACCTGTATGCTCCACACTGGTTTGTCGTCATTATCTGCATCGTTGTTATGTCTATATTTATTATTTACTTCATTTTGTATTTTGCTTTGTGTGTTACCTGTTGTTCTGTCTGTACAGCACTTTGGTTGGCCTTGTAGCTGTTTTAAGTGCTTTATAAATAAAATGGTATGGTATGGTATGGTATGGTATGGTATGGTATGGTATGGTATGGTATGGTATGGTAGGTCTCCTCTGGAGTTGAAGGTGATTAGCTATGGAGAGAGAGTGAGTGACAGAAAACCCAGGAATGCTACAGATAATATGTAAGCCCAGTTATTTGGAAGCTCTTTCTTACTACCCAGATCCTTTAACAGCTCCTCTCTGCATTTCTCACATTCTTCCTTCATCTTCCACCATTTGGTCTTCTTCTCTGATTTGACTCTTTTTCTCTTCTTCACAACAACAGTCATTCTACACACAACCATCCGATGCTGTCTGGCCACGCTCTCCCCTGCCACAACCTTACAGTCTCCAATCTCCCTCAGGTTTCCTCTTCTACACAGAATGTAGTTGACCTGCGTACTCCTTCCTCCGCTCTTATAGGTCACTCTATGTTCCTCCCTCTTTTGGAAATAAGTGTTTACAGCCATTTTCTTGGTGAAACCCACCACCATCTGTCCTTCATGGTTTCTTTTCCTTGACCTACCCATCACTTCCTCATCCCCTCTGTTTCCTTCACCAACATGTCCATCCAGGTCTGCTCCGATCACCACTCTCTCCTCCCTGGGAATATTCTCCATCACTTCATCCAGATCCTTCCAAAATGTATATTTCTACGGTGTCGATTAGATTGAATTGCATTATAGTTTTGGCAAGTGTTTGTGCCAAAGTGTTTTGGCCAGTTTAAGAATGTTATGATGCAGTCAGTCAATTGCGGGAGAGATAACATTGTTTCTGTTAAATGTGTATTGGGACATACTGGTATTAAAGATAATGAAAGAGCTGCCTACCCCATAATAGCTGGTAGCCAGGCCCACTTCAAAGGACCAGAGCCTGTTGTAGTTACAGTCTACAGAACTGCCCTAAAGGCCTGGACTGGACGTCAACATTCAGTCCACTGGAGGGAGCTGACAGACTGTAGCCAGGCACAAGAACTTGTTAAATCCTAGGTTTGGTCAAGTTCGCATTGCCCTGACAAGGAAAACTTTAAATATACTTGTTGGACTTCTAACTGGGCACAACCTGCTCAATCACCAATGGTAATGGGATTCCATAACAATGGTCTGTGTGATGCCTGTGGCATTGAATTAAAGACCTCTTTGCACTATTTAGGCTATTGTCTGGCTCTGAGTAGTCAAAGAGACAGATCTGGCATAAGTTCAAGTTCAAGAATCTTTAATATCCTTGGGTTGCAATTTGTCTCACAGTCAATAGATCTAAATATTCATACATGACATTAAAACATTTAAAGAAAAGTACTAAAATCAAAATAATTCATTAAAAATATCTGACTGATCCATGGATAAAGAATGATTTTTGTCTGTTAGTCCTGCATCTTGGATACAGGTTCCTGCATCTGGACTCACCATGGAGCGGCTGGTCAGGATCTGCAAAGATCGTCTGTTTTTTTTACAGACTTCACCTTGTGTAGGTCAGTGAGGTTCTGTAGGGCCATGTCAGCAATTTTGATGCAACTCCTTACAATCCCCGAGAGTTTGTTCCTGGTTTTAAATGTTACAATTCCAAACCAACAAATTAAGTTAAAAGAGACTCAACGTAGCACAAACCAACATTCTGATGGATGTAAAATAACATTAAACCCAAAGAGCTTCCGATAAAAATACTTTCTCTGACGAGCCTTCTTACAAAGTGTCTACTGTGCATGTGCATCAAAGGTCACTTTTTCATCAAGAACAGTTCCCAGGATTTACAGGTGCTGGTCATAAAATTAGAATATAATTTTTAAAAAGTTAATTTATTTCAGTAATTCCATTCAAAAAGTGAAACTTGTATGTTTATATTAATTCATTGTACACAGGCTGATATATTTCAAATGTTTATCAGAATAAGCTTTATTATCATTGTACCGAGATACAACAGGAGTACGTTGTCCAAAAGATGGGCGGGTGCACGTTGCTGCTGCTCTTTAAGAGCGCGGCCTCTTATCCTTTTCAGAATATATTTCGGCTCATGCCCCTTTTGCAGCGCCCCCACTCTGCTCAGATCAACCTGGATTAGCACCGCACTTCAGGACGGGTTCTGGAGGCGTGAATCCAAAATCCTGCTAATGAACTTTTAATGAACTTTAGTTCACCGAGTGACAGTTCTGCGATGAGTTAAACTCAAAGCAGTCTGCTCCTCAGATAAATAATGTTAAATTATTATTTTTTAATAAGAATGTTTCTGTTAACTTGTTTTATATATGAATATTTCTGTTCAGTGCCCCGAGACGACTTCTGTTGTGACTTGGCGCTCTATATATAAACTGAATTAAATCTGATGAACTAAATCCTACAAAAACATTTATATTAAAATTCCATATTTTTGTTCATCATTTGGTGTATTTGCACTCATTGTGCATACTTTTATTGTTCAATTTTTTATATGTGGTTTTGTTTCTTGTATAAAGATTTTATTTTAGTGATTTAAAGTGTAATTCTTGTTTAGTGGTTTGTACATCTGTGGGTTAGAATAAAGTTGAACCAAAGGGCTTGAGGTTCTGTCACATGTCCACAGCCTTGGGGAAGGGAGGGGTGAGGAATCAGACAGAGCGTCTTTGTTTTTCATAACATCCCAGGAGGAAATGAGATAGTCCACCTTCAAGACCAAATCCAGATCCACAGATTGGGTCAGGCAGAACTTGTAAATTGCTGTTTCTGCCTTTTAAAGTCTCGCTAGTACATTTCTCTGATGGTGACTCCGAACAGCTGAATTGATTATTTACGCCGAAAGTCGAGCTCACAGCTTCTCCAAGATTATTCCCAACCGTTCATGGGTGCTGTCAGAAAGTTCACAGTCCTGATATCAGCTGCTGCAGCTCTGACGCAGCTCCACATAATTCAGTCTGAGTGCTGCCAAGCTTCGACACATTCCACACAAATTTGTAGACAATCCAGATTGACCAACCCAAACAGCAGAATCCAGTTGTCATCATGAATCCAATTTTGTTTCTGTCGAGGTAAGAGGGTCCTCCATTCACCCGGACTTCCTGTCGGGAGAAATTGATCCATTTTGTTGAGAAACCAGCTGATCAAATCCATCAAATTAGGACGGTATGCAGGAAACAAGAGGCTCTATAAAGGGTTCACAAGATGAGAGCAAAGCAGGGAAGTGGGGGAACGGAGCAGAGGAGGATGCGTCTGCTTCCACCGAGAGCACAGAGAGGAAAAAAAAAATGTTGATAATTATAACTGACAACAACCCCAAAATCAGTATCTTGGAAAATTAGAATATTACTTAAGACCAATAAAAAAAAACATTTTTTAGAAATGTTGGCCAACTGAAAACTATGAACATGAAAAGTATGAACATGAAAAGTATGAACATGAAAAGTATTATCATGAAAAGTATGAGCATGTAGAGCACTCAATATTTGGTTGTTGCTCCTTTTGTCTGGATTACTGCAGCAAAGCGTCGTGGCATGGAGCGGATCAGTCTGTGGCTCTGCTCAGGTGTTATGAGAGCCCAGGTTGTTCTGATCGTGGCCTTCAGCTCTTCTGATTGTTGGGTCTGGTGTAGCTCATCTTCCTCTTCACAATACCCCATATTTTCTGTGGGGTTAAGGTCAGGAGAGTTTGCTGGCCAATTAAGAACAGGGATACCATGGTCCTTAAACCAGGTACTGGTATCTTTGGTGCAGGTGCCATGTCCTGTTGGAAAATGAAATCTGTATCTCCATAAAGTTGGTCAGTAGCAGGAAGTCTCTAAACCCTCCTGGTAGATGCTGCGTTGACCTTGAACCTCAGAAAACACAGTGGACCAACACCAGCAGAAGACATGGCCCCAAACCATCACTGACTGGGGAAACGTGACACTGGACCTCAAACGACATGGATTCTGTGTCTCTCCTCTCTTCCTCCAGACTCTGGGACCTTGATTTCCAAATGAAATCAGAGAACATCACTTTGGACATGTCGACGTGCCACTAACGGTAACACAATTTCTGCCACGGCCCCAGTGTGATGCGTTTTAATCTTGTTTTAAGAATTCTTTAAATAATATGTTTTGTTCTTTTTAAACTGTATTTGAAAGAGTCTATTTTTATATTGCAGAACCTCATGCGTCCCCATCTAGGGACGTACGTTGTGAGTTAATCAAGGCTGTAAATGTTTTACTGTACGGTATGTGTTAATGCTTAACATTTGTCCCATACATACAATATATGGGGGCTGAGATGGTGTAGAGGTAGGGCACACAACTTGGGACCGGAAAGTCGCATGCTCAACTCCCCACCATGCCCACATGCCGTGGTGTCCTTGAGCAAGACATCTAATCCCTAACTGCTTACTGAGTGCTTACAGAGCTGCCACTGCTCCACCAGGTGTACCCCACATGTAATGGGTTAAATGCAGAGAACCAATTTCATCTGTGTATGGAAACATACAATGATGACAACACATAGTTCTTACTTACTTACTATACAGATAAACAATAAATAGTTTTTAAATTAACCCTTTACGTGTCTGTGAGGGAGGTAACATGATAGGGAGGTGATTTTCTGCTGATAAAGTGTACGAGGTACCTTCAGAGAGTTGTGGAGGTATTTCTGGACTCTGCTGAGCCATTGGTCAGAAGTGGCTCTGCTACCATAAAGAGGGATGAGTTTCCAGCTGAGCTGGCACCTAATACCCTATATACCAAATTTATTCTTTACTATTTGGTACTTCCTTCTTGTTTCCCTCATTGTCCTTTAAATCCAGTAGGATTTCTCCCAAAGCCAGCTCCACTCACTCTAACTGGGATTAATATTCTGAGACATTTGGACCTCTGTGGTACAGGCAGGACTTCAGTTTCATCTTACAACAGTGAGTTTACGTGAGTATTTTGTTAGAATGTCACTTTTACTTCTTGCTCTTGAACAGCAGCTGAAAATGTTTTCAAAGCTACGAGTTTCTGTATTAAATCTCCTGAATATTCAAATACGTTTGGTTTCATTAAAACAGAAACTTATCTGTTTTTTGTCAATTTATTTGGCACATTTACTTCAAGTTCACTTCTAAATCCTTTATAATATTTAAGACAATCCTTAGTTAATTTTCACCTTACTTGACGACAAAAGCTATTGAACGTTTTATGAGTTTATTAGTTTTACACATCTGGATCCAGCGTTCAGATTGAGCAGAACATTTCTGGTCTTGTTTTCCAAGATGTTGTCGTGATACTGTACACAACTGTAAGTATTTTTCATTATACAACAAATGTGCAAAGTTTAAAAATAACACAAAAACTATTTGAAATAAGCCAAATGTTCCTAAATGTGAGCAAATGTTCTAGTTTTGAGAAAATATGTGTCAGTGGGGTCGGCAAAAGTTGCCTGTCTAGAATTATTAAAACCAGCAAATGAGTCAAACAACGGTGTGCCTTGAAATTAAACTAAATTAAAGGAAACTGCATTTCTTACAAGTAAAGATTGTTTCCCTTAAGAAACATTTTAACAGAATGAGCGTTATGCCCCTTAAGCGTATTATAAGATTTTTGTATGCTTCAAAAAATGTGACTAAAAACAAGGAAAGAGACCCTGATATGTATCTAAACTGAGTATTATGTATTGTTGAAAAAGCTGATTTCAAGAATTATTTACTCACTTTAGGATTTTGACGCCTTAATTTAAGTTAAAAAAGCTTACTACAGAACAAATTTCCTTAAAACTGAATTGTTTATTTCTTGATTGAACTAAATCTCAACTCTGAGAATAAAAATTAACAAACACGGCTGAGAATAAGACCCCGTATGTTGATGAAATATAGTAAAAATAAGAGATTTTATCTTAAATCAAGGCGCCAGAAGCAGTTGTTGCATTTTCTAACTGCATTTCATGTCACGTGCTTCGAGTCTTGCTGCTTTTGTTCATGTTGTGTGAAACATTAGGACAGCCATTATTTCACACTTTAGTGTCATTAAATACTTTCTTAAATTGAGAAGATGTTTACATGGCCTTACTCTTTAAATAAGTAAAATAATCTTATTCTTCTATTGTTCCCTGTAACTGGTGAATAAAGCTCAAGATGAGCTGAAATATCTTGTTAAGAAAAAGTTGGACGTATGTTCTTACACTGAGCTGAATGTTCTTATGCAAAACTTGCTTGTTAATTATGTTTTTTTTGTCTTTAGACAAAAAAATTTAAAAACTATCTATAAACCAGTTTGGTTTTTTTACTTTCTTGAAAATCGTTTTTTGGAGTGTTTCCGTCCATGAGAAGGATTTTACAAGGACAGTTTGATTCGTTGCTTGCAGTTGACTTGTTTTGGAGTCGAACTGTGTCAGCTTTGATTTTTAGACATTTTTGCTTCGGCTGATCGTTGAAAACAGGAAGTGAAGCAGCTTCTGCACACATCTGTAGTCATCTGGCCTTCAAGTGGCTTTAACTGGTGATTAGTGCTCCACTCTGCGTTTGACCAGACGTTCTGCTGTTGTGCTGATCACTTTTTATGCTCTTGACTCATGGGAACGAGTTCAAACTCAGGCAGCGTGTCTTCAGCACGAGGACTCAGGCATCCAACCCTGCCCGTTCTAAATTAGCCGGTACATGGAGACTGGCAGCTGGGTTTTCATTTCCACAAACCATATCCATTTTCTGGCTAAAGGTCAAAGACTTGCATAATCAATAACGAACGCAGAACAAGCTGTTCTCGGTTTAGTTGTGATTACTGTGCTAATATGTGCTTTTGGCTACTACTTAACTAAATGTTTTCTCTTTCTTGACAGAAGGTGAAGATCAAAAACAGGCAAAATGTCTGAGTAAGTACACAATCTTTTCTGAGATTATGTTGGTCCTGTAAAAATAGATCTACCAACAAAACAGGAGATACTTCAGGTTCACCTCTTTAACTTGCTGGTGTGGTTTTTAGTTTGCTTCTTATTAAATGGTTAACACGGTAAATGAACTTTACTACATGTCCCACCTTAGTACCTACTTCTGACAAAGAATAAATCATTAATAATTTTTCATTCGACCTTTATTTAGACGGTTAATCCCATTGAGCATCGAGGACTCATTACAAGAGAGACCTGATTTCAACAAAGAATGATGACAACAGTGGACAGGTATCAAAGGCATACAGATTTATTTTAATTTTTTTAATTCAAATAAGACGCAAAAAAAGTAACAAAAACAGCTAGATTCTAAGGCGAATGTAGAAAACTAAAACAGGAACATGTCTGCATTGGTCCCTGCCAGGAGTCCAACAGATTCTTAAAGTCACTTAGAGAGGTCAAAGGTCGAGAGCTTCAGATCTTTTTGTAAGATATTCCAGGAAACAGGAGCGGAGTAGGAGAAGGTCCTTTTGTCTAGTTTTGTCTAGAGGGAATCTGGGAGCCAGCAGCTCCCAAGAACTCTCCGAAGTTACGTCACTGTAATCACATCAATCAGACCTTGAGGACCAGGGCTTAATTTGAGGTGGATCTTTCCAGAACAGGATGCAGGAACTCTTTTATTTTGACGGGGTGTGTTCCGGTAACTGTTTGCCTGGATTCGGTAACTCTTAGGCTAACTAATTATAAAATAATTACATAAACACTAACACAACACACAACAACGTCCGATCTGCCTTTTCTAGTAGCATTTCAACGTCTACCCTTAAAACAAATCTCTGCCCCTAAACGAGTGGTGGGGGTGAGTGTCGAGTAGAGGATGACATTTTTTCGGGAGTACCACCGGTCACGTGATTCCGGACGGATTCCAGGAGCAGGACAGGAGCAGGAGTCATGTTACCAGGAGTGGGACAGGACAGGATTTTTTTCTGTGGGACCAGGATTGGGACAGGACAGGAGTGAAAATCCACTCCTGTGTCATCCTCTAGTGCCGAGCTAACCAGGCAGTCGTGCACAGCTGCAGGCAGGCGTCTGGAGGTTCACGTGTGGAGTCGGACAAGAACGAGCAGGGACAGAGTCAGGCTCGCTTCGAGCCCAACTTACTTCATGGTTCCGTCAAGTGGGGGTTGGTGGGGGGGTGCTTGACAGAAGCGGAGGTTTTACAAATGTAGGTAAACGTAGATGTTTAACTAACCACTGAAATACACCAACATTCAGGAAATCGCATCTACTTTATTTAAAATTTTCTGGGGGAGGACCCCCAGACCTCCCCCCCTCCCCCTGCCGCCGGTCCACCTGCTATTTGCGTTATGGCATTGATCGATATACAAATTAAGCCCTGTTGAGGAGTAAGGACCATGAAACGTTTTAACATCATTCACAATAAACGGTAAAAGATCAGTGAACATTCTGGAGCAGGGTGAGCGCAAATCATACCCATTCCCTTGACAGCCTCAACAGCAACGATGTCTAATTAATGTTATCAGTCGTTTCTCATGGAGCTGTTCTTCATCCAACAGGGGAAAGAAAATGTCATCCAGCCGCAGGCATCATTTAAAGGTTAGCATCAAATCTCATTTTTCTTTGCTCTCAGAACATCTGCTGTTTGTTGCCTGTCTTTGACTCGTGCATACGTTTTTACAGAGCTTGGTGCTGCAGGTTGCTACTAAATATCTTGAGCAGGAGAAGACGGACATTGCAGCTGCAAAAGAGGCCTATCTCGCTGAAAATTGCCCAGAACCTGAGCTGAGTGGAGACCAGGCTGCCCTGATGGTGAGTCCACGTGACAGTGATAGTTTCATAAGCTCAGGTCTCACAGTCCTGTGATCGTTGTCAACTAGTTGGTCAAAAAATCTGGAAAAAAATTAAAAAGTTCTACTGAACTGGCAACACATTTGTTGTGATAAAAGACCATCAAAGCTGTTTTAAGTTCAAAAATAATTAAATTAAGGCTCCTGTGCTGCTTAAAACTACTTGTTATTTACTCTAAATTTAAAATAGATTTTGGTAGAGGCAGCACGGTGGATCAGTTGGTAGAGCTGCCGCCTCTCAGCGATCAGTTCGCCCTGGTTCAAACCCCGGTCCAGGACCTTTCTGGGTGGAGTTTGCATGTTCTCTCCGTGCATGCGTGGGTTTTCTCCGGGTGCTCCAGTTTCCTCCCACAGACCAAAAACATGCATGTTAGGCTGATTGGTAACTCTAAATTGTCCCTAGGTGAGAGAGAGGGAGAGAATGGTCGTTTGTCTCGTTTGTCTCTATGTGTCTCTGGGAAGAACTGGAGACCTGTCCAGGTGCCCCCACCCCCATACAGTGATAGCTGGATATGGGCGCCAGTGACCCCTGTGACTCAGAAAGGAAGAAGTGAGTAAAGATAATGGATGGATGAAGGTTCGTGGTATTTTTTTACTTGTTAACCATTAAAATTAACTTTACTTTCTACCAAAAAAACAAAAACAATGTTGACACATAATGATTGACAGGTGAGACCATCAGTTTCCTTCTGGTCACACTTCAAGAAGTTTTAAACTCTGACAAATTATTCATACGGCCGCTGTTTGCTTGAGGCTTACTTTTCAGTCTGTCTGCCTCTCATTATCTCAGCAGTTCATGAGTGACATGTATGGTTACCATGGTGACCATATAGAACCATGGGCAGCAGGTTTGATGTTTTTTGTTTGTTTGTTTGTTTTGCTTTGGTTCTTTTTACACATTTTATGTCGTTCATCCATTAAACTGTCAGCATTTTTTATGAGCTTAGACCAAAGGCGTCACTACATTTATATGTGAGGGGGACGTGTCCCCCTCACATATAGGGTAATTGAGGTTATAATTGATAATTGAGGTCAGGATGCATGAGAGAAGCAAAGTCAAGTCACATTTATTCATATAGCACATTTAATACAGTAAATGTTATCAAAGTGCTTACCATAAAAGATCACAGGATCAAATATTAATAACAAGGTATTACAGCAACATGAATAAAAGCATAAAAACATGAAATATAATGAGAAACGATGAAATACTAAATCAAATCACCCTGCGTTAAATGCCAATGAGTACAGATGTGTCAGTGAGTACAGATGTGTCAGTGAGTACAGATGTTTTGAGGAGAGATTTAAAAATAGAGACTGAGGTGGCCTGTCGAATGTTGATGGGCAGATTGTTCCAGAGTTTAGGGCCCATGAGTAAAAACGCTCGATCTCCTCTGAGCTTCAGCTGGTTTTTGGTAAGACCAAAAGCAGCTGGTCTGATGATCTCAAGGCCCGAGAAGGAGTATAAGGATGAAGGAGGTCAGAGAGGTCTGAGGGTGCAAGGCCGTTAACACACTTGAACATCAGCAGAAGAATCTTAAAATCAACTCTGACGCACAGGAAGCCAGTGAAGGGAGGACAGAACTGGAGTAATGTGCTCAAACCTGTGAGTTCCTGTTAGTAGCCGAGCTGCAGCATTTTGTACGAGCTGGAGACGTGAGAGAGAGAGAGACCTGACTGACCCCAGCATCAAGCAAGTTACAGAAGTCCAGCCCGATTGTAATAAATGCATGGACTCATTTTTCAAGGTCGGATCTGGACAGGACGGACTTGAGCTTAACTATCTGCCTCAGCTGAAAGAAGCTTTTTTGAAGAACAGAATGTATCTGCTTATTAAACTTAAAGTCTGAGTCTAAAACTTTCCTGAGACTGGTAACAGACTGTTTTAGATGTGGCTGAAGGGAGTCCTAACCCTCATGTTTCTCTTTTCCTTATCTACTTATGCCCGTCTGAAACCGGTCTGTCTTGTAAATGAGTCCTTGAGGCTCAATGGGAACTAACCTGTATAAATAAAGGTTGAATGAAAAAAAGTAAACCTATTATTTCTTTGCATTCACAGGAAATCTGCAAAAAGCTCCAACAGGCCATCGACAAAATCGATGAGGACAGATATGATGTTGAGGCCAAAGTTCAAAAGGCCGACAAAGAGGTGAGAGGCAAGCATAACCAACACTGTAAGTGTAAAATATGATGTTTTATAGACACATTTCTTTTCAGCAGGTAAAATTATTCATATTTTCCACATAGAATTTGGATTCATGACATTTTTTTCAGTCTGCTGTTTCGTCAGGGCGTGGCCTGTTTTCTAACATACATCATGGATAATTCACACAACATCTGCGTAACAACATGGGGAGTGAACAACACTTAACAGAAAGTGTATCAGATCTTCCAAAGATCACTGGACTTGTACCTGAGAAATATCAGTTTAGCTCTAACACATCTCTAACATTACAAACAAAATACTGTAAAAATAATAGAGATAAAAGAAAATGTTTGGATATGGAGTCAAACTATCCAGTATCAATGCTCAAAATGCATTTGTTGTATTGGTTTCTAAATAATTCTCACAACTGAGATCCATTTTTCTTCTGTAGATTTCATAGAGACTTTAAGTTGGTAGACACAATATATATATATATATATTTATATTTATGATGGGGGAACACCATGTGTACCGCTTGCTCATTCATTAATTGTTACATGTCGAACATCCCATGCGCTGGTTTAACACGTAAACAAATGGTTCTCTGGCCCCAGATTGAGGATCTAAAGCTGAAGGTGGTGGACCTGGCTGGAGTGAAGAAACCTGCCCTGAAAAAAGTGCGTATGTCAGCTGACACCATGCTGAAAGCACTGCTTGGGTCCAAACACACGGTCAACATGGACCTGAGGGCCAACCTGAAGCAGGTCAAGAAGGAAGTCAAAGAGGAGGTAAGGAAAGCAGTTTACACAATCACTTTTAGGTTTGGCTGTTTTTTGTTCTGTTTTATTTATTTATTAGACATTTTTAATTAAATGTAAACAGAACGCTGTAGCTTTTCCAAGGATTCTTGATTGGGCAGCTGACTGATCTCTTTAAGTTAACTTTATTTTATCTTAATCCTGTTCCTGTTGGCTCTAATACTATCTATCTATAATACTCTAATACTATCTATGCTCTAATACTATCTACACTACATTGCCAAAAGTATTTGCTCATCCATCCAAATTATCTGAATCAGGTGTCCCAGTCACTTCCATGGCCACAGGTGTATAAAATGAAGCAGCTCGGCATGCAGACTGTTTCTACAAACACCTGTGAAAGAATGGGTCGCTCTCGGGAGCTCAGGGAACTCCAGCGTGGAACTGATAGGACGCCACCTCTGCAACAAATCCATTCATGAAATGCCCTCGCTCCTAAATCTTCCACAGCCGACTGTCAGCTGTGTTATAAGAAAATGGAAGTGTTTGGGAATGACAGCAACTCAGCCACGAAGCGGTAGGCCACGTAAACTGACGGAGCGGGGTCAGCGGATAATGAAGCGCATAGTTTGAAGAGGTCACCAACTTTCTGCAGAGTCAATCACTACAGACCTCCAAACGTCATGTGGCCTTCAGATTAGTTCAAGAACAGTGCACAGAGAGCTTCATGGAGTGGGTTTCTATGGTCAAGCAGCTGCATCCAAGCCGTACATCACCAAGTGCAATGCAAAGTGTCAGATGCAGTGGAGTAAAGCACGCCGCCACTGCTTCAGCAAACCAAGACATTTTGGACAATTCCATGCTCCCAACTTTGTGGGAACAGTTTGGAGCTGGCCCCTTCCTCTTCCAACATGACTGTGCACCAGTGCACAAAGCAAGGTCCATAAAGACGTGGATGGCAGAGTCTGGTGTGGATGAACTTCAACCCGAAAGAACACCTTTGGGATGAATTAGAGTGGAGACTGAGAGCCAGGCCTTCTTGTGCAACATCAGTATGTGACCTCACAAATGCATTTCTGTAAGAATGGTCAAAATCCCCATAAACACACTCCCAAACCTGTGGAGAGCCTTCCAGAAGAGTTGAAGCTGTTCTAGCTGCAAAGGGTGGACCAACGTCATATTGAACCTTATGGATTAGGGATGGGATGTCACAAACTCATATGTGAGTCAAGGCAGGTGAGCGAATACTTTTGGCAAGGTAGTGTATATATCTATCTATACTATCTAATTAATCAAATGGGTTAATTTGGTTTTGTTGTGATAAAACTGATATCTGATATGATAAGCTTTTTCCCACCAACATAAAAATCTACAAAGTAGAAATTACATCGTAGGTGTTGCGTCATTAGATGTAAAGGGGACCTGTTCCCCTCACATTAAAAAAAATATTTGTTTGGACCCCCCCCACACACACACACACACATTTACCATGAAATATTTGTTCACATAGTGTTGTTTATATACAAAGTATCTTCATGAACAAATCCATTCCACTTGATTAATATGATAATACTCAATCCACTAAAAGTCCACTCTGGGTTTTCCAGGTTACCTACTACAAGTCACCACAAAGCATGCAGTGTTTCCACGAGGTCACTTACCTTGGCAGGACACTCATCTCTGAGGGGTTTTTGTCGACAGGGTGGAGGGAGGAGGGCGAGACACCTCTGTATTGCATGCTAACTTAGCGTTACATTAGTGCCGGCAGCGCTGCGTTAATGCCGGAAGGTTGGGGGGATAATGTGCATAAGGGAAGCGGAGTGTGCTGTATTCACACAAGGAGAGCTGTTGGTCAGGCTACTTCTTGTTATGATGTGCTCTCGAAAATAGTTATCGAATCAAGTGTTCAATGTTAAACAACCTGTTAAAATACACCAGAATGCAGGAAATGTCATCTACTTTATCCAACCCCCCACCCCCCACCAGTTATTTATGTATTAATAATTAAAAAAAACTTATTTTGTTCTTCTCCACCATCCTGCCCCCAATTATCTTGCACCAAAAACATTAAGGTTTACTTTCACTCCCTGTTCAAATCCCTCAACGATGGGGGACATTGGTGTACTGTTTGTTTACCATGTCCTGGATGACTGAGAATCCACACCAACATGTGTCAAAGTTACTTGTTTTGTTTATCTTAATGTTGACAAGTCTGTTTGTTGTTGTTGTTTATTTTCAGCCAGCTGAGGCAATCGGGGACTGGCGTAAAAACATAGAAGACAAGGCTGATAGGAAGAAGATGTTCGAATCAGCCTAAAACCCTCCTGGACCAGAGATGACGATGGCAGCACAGATGCTGATATCTTAGAGATTTATTGTCTCTGTGGTTCCTGTTGGCATCTAGGGACAACTGTTCAGGAGCCATTTAGTTGTGATATTGTTGATTCCTGACAGAGACTCAACCAAACCAAAAAGAACCATCCTGTAACCTGTTTTAAGACCTCTGGCAGTTCAAAATGTTCCACTTTTCACCGACACAGTAAGAAATAAATATTCTGAATTATTCCACCCATCAAAGTGAGAACCGAGTAACTTTGAGCGTTGAACCCACGGTGTATTGTCCAGACCCGTCTGGAATAGTTGAAGCACTTCCAGCACAAATCAACTGCTGATCAAAACAAGACTCGACTGACCCCAGACACCACGGGACGTCTCCTTTAGGTGCCTGGCGTGAAAAGGAGTCACAAACATTCAAACACACACAAGCACTAATGGGAGCATTCAATAATTTTGATTAAAGTTATATAATTAATCTTTAACAATGAGTATCTATATGATCTAATCTCTTTTATTAGGATTTTTACTCCAGTAATTAATACCACATATCTAATATATCCCTGTTAATTAATTTCAACAGCAGATCTAAACCCAGTTAACAAAATGCTCTGCCTCATATCTAACAAAGTTAAGTCAGGTCCACTGGACGGTTTCTTTTTGTTGAAATGTTTCGTCTTTAATCCAAGAGACTTCATCAGTCCGAGGAGCCACAACAAGGAAACGAGATCAATATGTTTACAGGGTCATTATGAACCAAGAGCATGCCACATGTCGTGAGTACAAACCTGGCACTGGTCCATCTGCCTCAGTCCTCTTCAGTGTAGATTTTCATTTTCTTTTTCAGTCATTCAAGTCGAGTGTTTTACAAAACTTTCAGGCCGTCACAAATCCAATCAGTGTCGGCTCATTACACACCAAGACGCCACTGAAACTCTAATCTCAGGCAGACAACGTAACAACTCATTCACTCCTCTACAAATCTCCTTTTTCCCCTCTCTATATAACGTCTAGACTCCGTTATTTATTTCTGTAGTCCCTCACATGTAGTCCCATCTTCACACATCTCACTGACCAGTGTCGTTGATCTAGGATCACTGAAAGTTCCCTGATCTTCCCACCAGTCGCAGACTAGTCCTTTTAACACAATATCGAAATCAGTAAGTCCCTCTGTGACTTTTTCTTTGAGGTCCCAGACCTTCCAGAAATAATCTCGAGGTCCCAGATCTTCCAGAAATAATCTCGAGGTCCCAGACCTTCCAGAAAAAATATTGGGATCCCAGATCTCCTAAAATCATTAAAACAAAATCTTCTCACCCAGGGGTCGTGGCTCGTCACTGGTCGGACATCATCACCTCCCCCGACCCACCAGCAGACCTGGCTGTGTTTTGTCCTGTCCTTTCTGTATGCTCGTGTCTCATGCGCTCCCACTGTTCCCCCTTCTTGTTTTTCAGCTCCTGTCACACCTGCCTCTAATTCTAATGACCCCAGGTGTTTGTCATTTCTGTCTCATCAGTGTTTCTATTTGTTCAGCGTCGTTGTTTCTATTCGTCTGTGAATTGTGCATGGTCTGTCCTGCCCTGCCAGCATTTTGTTTTGTTTTGAAAAATCATCTTAACTTCCTTATTTTTACCTGGGAATGTCCCATCGTCTCATGTGGGTTCAAACAACAAAACAGCATCACGATACTGGCCTCACACAAATCATCAATTCAGCTGGAGGACTTCCAGTTGAGGAGTCCAAGACTCCTCCTTACGTGGATTCAGGCCTGGTGTTTCAAGATCAGATGTTAGTTGCAGAACTTGCAGGACCAAAATGTTGGAGAAAATATACTTGCTTACGTAGTTTGCTCAAAAAGAACCACACTCGACAGAAGATTTTTAACTGGGATTTACTGACAAGGTAAGATTTTCAGGACAGGTTACGTAAATATACATACAATGTACACACATGAAGACCAGTCACGAGAATCTGCCTCGTGCTGCCCCCGCCACTTGCTTTTATATCCTTACCAGTTCACAGAGCACAGGAGGTATCCTTGGAGCCAGGTGCAACTTCGCCCAGGTCCTCACCCAGATCTCTCTGCTAACCCAAACATATGATTCATGGGCAGAGATAAGATTCTCAACCATAGTAATAAAAACATCCATAACCTTTGACCCAAAATTCTCTGACAGAATCCAACTGAAAATCTAAGCTCAGAGTTCAAGAAGCCCACAGAGCCTTCAGGATTCGAAGTGTTTGTGTGGAAGAATGGACCAAAAGCACACGTGAGCAACACATGCGACAGATTTCTCCATACAGGAGGCACCTTGAAGCCATCATCACCAACTAAGGCTTTTGTATGAAGTACTAAATAAATTTCAGTAAGTGTGCTCAGTACTATTCCCCTGTGTCTCATTATTACACAAAACTTAAATTATGGACATCTATGGTTTGATTTCTTTGCCTTTGTAGATTGGATGGGTTGTTACTGACATCTGGTGAGAGTTCCATGTCAGTAGCACCTTTAGAAATATATTTAGGTACAAAACTGGTGACGTGCTCAACACTTCTTTCACTCGCTGTCTCTTCCTCACTTACTTTTATCGATGAATGCTGCAAAACTAAATTTAACTGTAAAACATTTATAAAAAAGACAATACCTGATCTATAAATCTGAAGTTTTTAGTAAAGTTTCAAGAGTTATATAAATGAAAGAACTGGTGTCTGTGACAGAAATACTGCTCAAATGAAAACAAGTCAAACCGTTCTCAATAGCCATCAATTAAATGATTATAAAACAGTTTACTAGACTCGGGTGTAATGCTAATGTAGCATTTCCTTCAGTCATATCCCTAGTAAATCAATATCCAACTCAACTTAATGTCCTTAATTTTCAGGCGTTATCATGTTTGTGGTAGTAATACTTTGTGAAAGCATAACATTTGAACTTGTGAAATAATCATGTTCAAAATTTAGCTATTCTAATTTTATGGAAATATTTTTGGATTACCATCATCAGGCACTGATTGGGGAGTGGTGACAAAGGTTAGAGAAGGTGAGCCTGTGATTGGAAGGTCAAAGGAGACCACAGGTTGAGGTGGTACAGTACTTGCACAGGATTCCAGAAATGAGAGGACAAGGTAGCCGTATTCATCCATCCATCCATTATCTTTAGCCGCTTCTTCCTTTTTGGTTAGTAGGGGTCACTGGTGCCTGTATACAGCAGTCACTGAGCGAGAAGAGGGGGACACCTTGGACAGGTCTCCAGTCCAGTCCATCACAGGGACACATAGAGACAAATGAGACAAACAACCGTTCACTCTCTCACATCTAGGGTCAATTCAGAGTTACCAGTCAGTCTAACATGCATGTTTGTGGTCTGTGGGAGGAAACTGGAGTACCTGGAGAAAACCCGTGCAGCATGGAGAGAACATGCAAACTCCACCCAGTAAGGCCACCGGCCGGGATTTGAACTGGTAATCTGCTTGCTGAGAGGCAGTAGCTCTAACTCCCAGTATGCAAATGCAAGAGGAAATGCGACCTCAGTTTAGGGGGGATGATGGAAAAGAACCATTCAAGCTGAACTTCAGGTTTGTCACTTCTTGATCAAACCACTTGTCACATTTACTGAAAGAAGACCCAGGAGGCTCCACTACTGACAGCAAAACACAAAAGCCAGCCAGAACTTCATCAAATGCCTGTTGATAAAAACCAAAGTTTCTGGGACTGATGAGACAAGACTGAAGCTTTTGGCCCCAGATACTGTGAAAGGGTACTAAGAAATGTATCCAAATCTGTACGTACATAAGAAATAACAGCATGAAAACATCTCTGTGCACTTTACAAGTATAGATACGGCTAGAAGGTGGCATGGTGGATCAGTTAGGTCTCAAATTATTTGACCTTAATTTGTATCACAGGAGCCTTCAAGCTTTTTATCAGACATTTAGTCTATTTGAAGAGAACTAACAGCCACCGGGTATAACAAGGTTGAATCAGGTCCTCTGGACAGATTCTTCTTTGTTGAGTCTTTTGATAAAAGACTCAACAAAGAAGAATCCGTCCAGAGGACCTGACTCAGTTTGGGTAGTTCGGTATGGCTGTGAGCACCACACTGAGCACAGAACAGAGAAAGCAAAGAGACGTGTGATTATGCATATCCACGTTAAAGGTTAAAGCTACAATACCATCTCCAAGAAGCTTCCCGTTCCTCTGACCACATGACCTAACAGAGCAAGGTAATGGGACTGTACCTAACCTATTGTGCAAAGAATATTATTCTCTTTAAGGGCATGAAAAATCTGTCTAAACTAGAAAATCTTTGGAAAATAAAATCTTTGTTTCAGCACGAAGAAATCGTCCAGAGGACTTGACTTAACTTTGTTGGATTTTTTAACTGGATTACTGAGTACGAACTTTGATGTTTTGAACCACTTTAGCCATGGCTGCGTCAGAGGAGTCGACGGGGGAGAGGGCGGACTCCAGAAACCATCTTATCACCATCAAACTGGTTGGCCCACTATGTGAGCGTGTCGCTTGTGAGACTGAGTCTGTTGTGGTTCCTAGGACTGATGAAGTCCTTTGGATGAAGGATGAAACGCTTCAGCACAAAGAAACTTTCCAGAGGACCTGACTTACCTTTGTTGGATTTGAAAAATAAACAACAGGTTGTTTTTGTTTATTTGTTTGTCAATCGCACAGTAAAGGCAACCAGATACGCATCAGACAAATCCTTTTAAATTAATACGTTTTCAAAAAAGAAATAAGTGTTGTTTCAATACACTGTAAGAGGACAGGTGGCATGGTGGATCAGTTGGTAGAGCTGCTGCCTCTCAGCGAGAAGGTCACTGGATCAAATCCAGGCCGGGGGCCTTTCTGGGTGGAGTTTGCATGTTCTCTCCGTGATAAGTGGGTTTTCTCCGAGTACTCAAGTTTCCTCCCACAGACCAAAAACATGCATGTTAGGCTGATTGGTAACTCTAAATTGACCCTAGGTGAGAGAGAGAGAGAGAGAGAGAGAATGGTTGTTTGTCTCTATGTGTCCCTGTGATGGACTGAAGACCTGTCCAGGGTGTCTCTGTGATGGACTGAAAACCTGTCCAGGGTGTCTCTGTGATGGACTGGAGACCGGTCCTGGGTGTTCCCTGCGTCTCGCACAGTGATAGCTGGACATGGGCACCAGTGACCCCCCGTGACCCATAAAGGAAAGAGTGGGTAAAGATGATGGATGGATGGATGGATGGATGGATGGATGGATGGATGGATGGATGGATGGATGGATGGATGGATGGATGGATGGATGGATGGGGACCAACACATTTATACATATATACTGAATGAACCCATTGAACTGATAAATAAAAACAGAATCTCTTTCACACATCAGTTGTCTTGTTAATTTTATTTTGTTAACTGTAAAACTACATATTTAGTAAATATTAAAGAACCATGAGCATAAATAATGTATAAGCTGTGGATATTGTTTGAATGTGGAATAAAAAGAACAAACCTCTGATAACATAAACATTTTTATCCGATCTTACGTTTTCAAACAAATTAACAAACACGAACAGCTAATTAATTACCTTACAGTCAGTGCCACATGAAGTATTTGTCAAGTATAGAGCTGCAGTAAAATTTTCTTCAACGAGCCAAAAAAACTATTTGTGTACATATAGACTAAGACTAGACCTGTACATTATTTCTGCTGCTGTATGTGTCGTAAGCACAACATATAGGACCTGTGTTCTGGTTCTCATAAACTCTAAGCGCTTCACATCAGCCACGGGCTAAGTAACCGTAAACCCTCTGGCTGTCCTATTAAAGTCTTTTGGTTCTTCATCGACACCTTTTCGCCCAATCAGACCCATTTCAAACACTGTAGAAATCTTTGTGACTGGTCTTGATGCTGCTTCCTTGAGCTTCTTAGCATCAAACTTGGGACTAAAAAGCAGAACCGGCAGCCTGTATGCAAAAGAAGGAATCTCCGTCGACTCACTCTTCTTGTCCTCTTTTCTTTCCTCTTCACTTTTGTTCAACTCGATCTGGTGCATGATGTTTTCTTTAGAGGAGAACATTTGGAAGAGGACAGCATCCCACATCTTTGTTGCCTTGGGTGCGCTTTCGGTTTCTTTCTCATTCTGTGTGCTCGACTTCTCGCCAGGCTTGTCTTCTAGTCTTACCTCACTCTGGTCCTGCCCACTGGCTTCTTTCTGAGAGCCTATTTCTGGAAATTTGGGCTCTTCCTGTTCCACCACCATGTGCTTCTTCAGTCGCGACCATCCGGTCATTTTAGATTTCAGATCCTTAGGCCTTTTAAGTAAGGACTTTGCTGCTGGAAATACTTCATCGGACACCTTTTTCTCAGTTTCTGAAGTTGTTTCCGTGTTCCTCTGTTTTTCTTTGTCTTCATTTGATTCTGTTGCAGGGGTGTTAACAACCAGAGCAGGTGCTCTGGAATCGGACTCGGAGACTTTAGGTTTGATCTTTGCATCAGAAGAAGGTGGCACAACTTTTTTATCGACTGAAACATCAACTTTCATCTCAGTTACAGCTCTTTTTTCATCTTTATCTCTGGCTAAAAGCATTTTTATTGCTTTAAGTGGACCTTGGTCACCACCTTGTAGGGGAGAACATTTAGGCTCAAGAGTTTCAGTTATTGGTCTTACTTCTTGATTTAAAGTTTCCTTATTATGTTTCTCTGAAAATCTACTGACTGATGTTGGTTTTTTTGGTATCCCTTGAATCATTGCAGTATCCTGTTTGGCTGCAACCAGACCAGTAAATGTGGCTGCCTCTTGCTTTAGCATTGATGAGTCAGATGGTTGTGACAAAGCAGTGACTGGGATTGATTCAGTGGCAGCAAGGGTTTCATATCCCTGATGGGGTTCGTTTTTATTATTAGAGCTGTCTTTTTCCTTAAAGGTTTTGGTTGAAGGTTGCTGCTTCACTCTTGATTCTTGAGCACTCTCTCCTGTTAACTCTTTGTCAGCTTTAACCTCATCTTTTGTGGATGTTACTGAAACTGAAATACCAGACGCTGTTAAGACAGCATGTTCAGCTGGTGTAGGTTCTTTACCGATAGTCTGTGACAGTTGAGTAACTGGGGTTTTAGGTCTTTGAATGGCTACTTTTGAAGCACCAGAAGCTGAAACTCCATATGGTGGTGTCTTTGGTTTTTTGTAGCCAGGTGATCTGGTCATAAGTCGGAAGGCTTCATACGTTGGAGTCTTTGGCCTTTGGTAGCCAGCCACAGCTTGTGCTGATGGCATGAGTGTAGGAGTTTCAGCTCTTTGAGAACCTACACTTGTCAGGCTTGTTTCTCTTTTCAGGTCAGGCTCTGACTTTGACTTTTTAAGGCTTTGTTCTACTGGTTTAACTGCAGGTTTTATGTCAGAATGGATATCCCCATTCAACAAGTTTTCAGAAAGCACTGTAGTCTTCACACTTTGGGAAGCAGAAGAACTACTCATTGTAGAAACTGTCTGGAGTGAGCTTGACTTTTCAGGATGTATGCTAATAGGTGACACAGCAAGCAACGGACAATTATACCTTGAATTTTCAAAGGCAGACGTTGCTTGAGTTGTAAGGCACACTGGCGTTGGCGATTTTCCTTTGATTTCAGATGTTGGAGTTGTTCTTTTAATTTCTGAAATTGGTGTTGTTCTTCCAAGATCAGTGCCTAATGAGGGGGGATTAATTTGTCTCTTACCTCTTTGAATCTCAGATGCTGGAGGCATATCTTGATTTGTTTCTGCTAATATTGTACTTTCAGGTACGGTGCTGCCAATAGAAGTTAACCCAGCTGTGCCATGAACTGGGGGTGTCCTGGATGTCTCATAATATGATGTGCTTGCTGTATACATCCTTATTTGAGGGACATCAAACATTGGTTTTGGAGATTTTGAGTGTTCAGTTGCTTTAAATGTTGGCCGTGGACTTTTAGATTTGATAAGCGGGGTCAACACAGTGAGAGGTCTAAGCACATTTTGACCTGCTGGCATTGAATATGGAGTTGGACCTGGAACTTGGGATTTGGAAGGTAGAGTTGCTACAGTTGTGGCAGAGCTCAAACCAGTGTGACTTTGTGTAAATGTACTAAATTCAGGCTTGTTAAAGTCGGTCACTATTATAGTCACCTCAGGCACAGAGGAATATGGTTGGGACATTCTGGCTGTTGTGGGCTGGGCAACCTGTTCTGTAGAAGTTAAAACTCCAGAAACCTGGATCAGTGCAGAATATGATGAAGCTGTGGGGGCATGTTGTGATGGAGTGGTCACAATCTGAGGAAATATCCTGGTTGTTCTTGCTTGATGTGGGTACGGAGACGCCACATGTTGATACAGTGGTCTAACAGTGAAACGTGGTGGGTTCTGGATACCGTAGAGGCTGGGCATTATCTCTGGTGTTCTTGGCGAGGAGGAGTGGTCACTGTGCTCTTGGTCAGGGCTTGCTTCATCCACAGGGGAAAGGCTTGAGCGGAAAGTTGTCGCAGACTGCGATACCTGAGCAGAAGACTTTTTCTTGGCGGTCCTCTTGAGGAGCTTTTGAAGACGAACATTGTCCTTTCCAGGTTTGGGCAGCAGCGGAGGAGGATACTGGGAAAACAGGCCCAGCTGGGTGATGGTGCTATAAGCGATAGCCATGAGTGCTCAGGCACCCTATGAAGAACAAAAAAAATTAGACATTCTCAGAGTAAAGCGCTCCTTTTATTACTGTAAGATGCCTGAAGAAAAATGTGGAAGACAATATTCTTGTTCGTCTTTGTGTAAGTCTGAATATGTTCCAGTGTCTGTTCACGCCCAAGAAATGAACCACTTGATAAATGTTCATGAAATCTGCTGAAAGTAATCATTGGGTTTACACCTAACTATCTGTTGGAGTCATTATGTTTCAAGATGGCTGCTACAGCCAACAGACCTTTAAAAACACAAAACTTGCTATAACTCATTTGGTCTTACAGATATTGACCTTAACTTTGGTGTGTTAGTGGCTGAGACTGATCACCAGCATAAATTGAGTGCTAAAAGATTACCCCACATCTTAGTTTAAAAATGTACCATTATATTTTTCAGTTATTGAGCATGCATCAGGAGATCTCAGGGATTTCCATCAACAACTTGCCATGCTATCAACTAATACCAGACACAGGATTGAACATTACATGGGCCCACCGATGCACTTCTAGGCTTGACTTATTGGCCTAACTGAAATCTATTGGGTCAAGAAGGAGGGTCAGTTGTGTAATTTTAAAGAATGTGTCTGCTTAACATGTCCTCTCTTTCCAGACCTCATTGGCTGACAAGACTTTTTAAAGTAACAAGCTCCATCTGCTAGACGAGGGGAGGTGAGAGAAGAAGCTAGAGCCTGACATCTGCTTCTTCTTCTGCCCTGCACTTTAAACTGGTGTTGTTTGCCAGTGATGCAGGAGCATGAGAATGTTATTTTTGTCATGTTTTTTGGGTGTACCCGTTGCCACACTGCCCTATAGTTGAGAAACTGACCACAAGCTGGTGACAGCCAAGTTTATATGACGGGATTAAAAAAAGATGTTCAGAACTGGGACAAAGCCCATGTTGAGTGCCAGTGTCTGAGGTGCACAATAAAGTAAAGGCACCTCTGTCCCTTTTCCAGAGCTGGAAGAAGGTTTTAATTGTAATAATGTGGACATTGTGTGTCTTCTGGTTGTGTGTCTTTCTCACCATGGATCACATGGTGGACGGAAGCTGTCCTACTGTCTTCAGCATTAGATGCTGAGGTGGTGCTGCCACTCTTTGGCACCTAGATTGAACATTTTGGCACACAGTCTGACCTGTCCCCTGAATGTGGTCTGCCGTTTATATCAGACCTCTGGGCTGCAGTTGCAGAGACCCTTGGGGTGACACTTCATTGTACAACAGGTATCATCCTTAGATCATTGGCTTTTTTTTAAGTTTTCCTCATTCCATGAAAACCACCAATTGTCCCACATTTTACAATGATGGCTGAGTTAATAAGCTGTCTATCTGTCTGTCTATCTGTCTGTCTGTATTTGTCTGTCTGTCCGACTGTCTGTCTGCCCGTCTGTTTGCCTGTTCATCCGTCTGTCCGTCTGTATTTGTCTGTCTGTCTGTTTGTCTGTATTTGTCTGTCTATCTGTCTGTATTTTTAAGTCTGTCTGTCATTCTGTCTGTCTGTCTGTCTGTCTGTATTTTTCAGTCTGTCTGTCTGTTTGTATTTTTCAGTCTGTCTGTCTGTATCCGTCTATGTCTGTCTGTCTGTCTGTATTTTTCAGTCTGTCTGTCTGTATCCGTCTATGTCTGTCTGTCATTCTGTCTGTCTGTGTCTGTCTGTCTGTATCTGTCTGTATTTGTCTGCCCGTCCGTTTGCCTGTCCATCCGTCTGTCCGTCTGTATTTGTCTGTCTGTCCAGCCGTCCGTCCGTCTGTCTGTATTTTTCAGTCTGTCTGTCTGTATCCTTCTGTGTCTGTCTGTCTGTCTGTATTTTTCAGTCTGACTGTCATTCTGTCTGTCTGTCTGTCTATCTGTGTCTGTCTGTCTGTGTCTGTCTGTATCTGTCTGTCTGTCTGTCATTCTGTCTGTCTGTGTCTGTCTGTCTGTCTGTATCTGTCTGTCTGTCTGTCTGTCATTCTGTCTGTCTGTGTCTGTCTGTCTGTCTGTCTGTCATTCTGTCTGTCTGTCTGTTTGTCTGTATTTTTCAGTCTGTCTGTCTGTATCCTTCTGTGTCTGTCTCTGTCTGTATTTTTCAGTCTGTCTGTCATTCTGTCTGTCTGTCTGTCTGTCTGTGTCTGTCTGTCTGTCATTCTGTCTGTCTGTGTCTGTCTGTCTGTCTGTCTGTCTGTCTGTCATTCTGTCTGTCTGTGTCTGTCTGTCTGTCTGT